GGATGAGGGTTTGATGGGCCTGCTTAACAGGGGAGCCCCAGCTGCTGCCAAGCGGATCCACATGCTGGGCCCTCGCTTCCCCATCCCATGCCCCTTCCTCACCACTCCATCTCCTGCTCATCCCACCCCCTTCCTTCCCCCGCTTCCCCATCCCATGCCCCTTCCCCACCACTCCATCTCCCCCCCCAGGCTTGGGGGTCAGGGGGAAAACTGCCCCCAAGCATGAGCCAGAGAAGCAGGCTGGTGCCGGGTCGCTCCACTTCCTGCCGCCTGGTGATTGCAGGTCGGCCCCGACCCTGCACTCATGGGGCAGCGGGAAGTGAAGTGACCCAGCCCCAGCCCGCTCTGCTCTGCTCCCCTGGCTCCCAGCCTTGGGACTTGGGGAGCAAGGGGGAACCACCCCCCAGCCCTCACTGGCGGCGCGGCTGGGAGCCGGTGGAGCGGAGCGGGCTGGGGCCGGGTCACTCCAGTTCCCGCCACCCGGTGAGTGCAGGGGGGCCCGACCCTGCAGTCACGGGGCACCGGGAAGTGAAGTAACCCAGCCTGCTCTGCTCTGCTCCCCTCACTCCCAGCCTTGGGACTGGGGGACAGGGGGAACTGCCCCCCAGCACTCACTGGCAGCATGGAGTGGGCTGAGGTCGGGTCGCTCCACTTCCCACCGCCCCGTGACTGCAGGGCGCGCCCGACCCCTGCTGCAGTCCACTGGGATTTGCTCAGGGGAAGGGGTGGAATGGGGTCAGGGCTCTGGCGGAGCAGGGGTGGGAAGAGGCAGGGCGGAACAGGGGCGGGGGCAGCTTTCCTGGCTGGCCCAGCAGGCCTGGGGATCGGACTGGCCGGGGCTCCTCTGACTCTGGGCTCGGCGCTATGGCACCATAAACCCGGTACTGATCCTACTACTTTGCCAGCTGCTTTTCAACTGAAGTGATTGGGGCGGTGTGTGTGTGTGTGTGTATGTGGAGGGGGCGAGAGAGACAGTGTGTTTTGGGGCACAGAGACTGTGTCAGCATGCTGTCTTGTAAGTTCAGACAGGGGCAGGAAGCAAGATCAGGACAGCACACAAGGGCTGTCAGAAATGGTGCTTTGAAAGGGGCGGGGCGCATGTCTCCAGGGCAGCCGAGTTCAAAACAGCGAGCAGAGCGGTCACTTGAGGCATTATGGGACAGCTCCAGAGGCCAATTACAGCACAGGAAGCAATCAAGTGTCTACACTGGCATAGAGCACTGGAGCCCCTGTGCAAATAGCCTTACGACTCTCGTTGAGGTGGTTTTTTTGCAGTCCTGCAACTGAGGAGTTTCTGTGCACAAAGAGGCTTGGCAGTGTGCACACGTCTGCAGTTTGAGTGCAAAAAAGCCGCTTTACTGCGCAGAAACTTGCCAGTGTAGACAAGCCCTTAGTTAGTAGTCAAACTCATTGATCTACAAGTATATGGGCCTGATCTAAAGTTCATTGAAGTCAAGGACAGTCCTTCAATGGGCTTTGGATTTGGATTTAAGTGCATTCTACTGCTGTTAAGGAAACATTACAAAAATGTAGCCAGTCCTGTGTGTTGAGTCCCTTTAGGCTCATTTGAAAAAAAGAGAAAAGTTTGAGATGTTTCTAGAAATCAGGGAGGAGGAAACTATTTCATGTATTGATTTTTTTATATAAAAATCTTGCTATTATAAAAGCAGTAAGAAAAATATCAAGGTAGTCTCTTAAGTAAAGACAGCTATCTTTTTCAATTAATAAACTGAAGACTCTAATAATAAATAAAGGCCAGATTATGGAGAACCATAGAGGACAATTTTAGAAAACAAAACAAACAAATATCACTGGTCTGATCAGCTAAGTGTCAGTGTGGTTAGAAAATGGCAAATGCTCATTCTTTTTGGCAAACTGGAAATTTGTTCCTGGGTTTGGTTGACTGATGCTATTTCTGAAAATTCCAACCTGTGAAGTATTGGTCTTCTAGAAAATCTTTAGGGCAATACATATCCTTCCTTTTTCAGTGCCTTCTGAATATTCTGCTTTATCAATTAGAGAATCCCAGTGTCTGGTATTAGTGTCTGGAAGTTTAAAAAGCACATTCATTCTGAGAAATTTTTTTTACCCCTCTAACTACTCAGTCTAATCAGCTCTTCCTTTACTTTAGTAAAGTGTCTTCACAGTTGTGACAAATAGCAAAGTGAAGAGTGCATATTACTTTTCTTAGGCTATGAATCTTTTATCTCCCTGGGAAACATAATAAAATCCACGTTCTCAGTAAAAGAGCCACCTTTAGAAATCTTTGCTTGGTATTTAATCTTAGTCCACATTATTGCTTAGGAATTCAAAGTATTCCCCAAAGAAAAAATAAACATGGAGACAGAAATGTCAAGGTCAGTGATTCGCAGCAGGATGTCATTAAAAGAAATGGAAGCTTTGTGCTTTCATATCCACTGTTATTTCCTTAACAACAGCATCTTAAATAACATCTTTAACATATAACTGAAAAACCAGCCCGGAAAAAGAACTAGACACCACAGTATAATTTCTCAAAATAAAAATTAATGGTGCTCTGCAAATGCTCATATAATAATACCTCTGATCTCCCACTCTCCTGCATGAAGAATTTGATCCTGCACCCACTTGAGCCAGTTGCAAAACTCCCATTGATGTCAGTGGTTCACAATCAAGGCCTAAGGCTTTATTTGTATACTTCACTGACTCTTGTCTTTATGCCTTGTTTCATACTGCCATTAAAGCTTAGTGCTATATGCCCCATCTAACAGCAATGTAATGTCTTACTCTGGCATCGTTGTTATATTTGCATAGCCTCTGATGAGCATGGTGCCAAAAAATGCATAAGGTCTGATATTTTTTCAGTGTATTAACTCCTCTGACCAGATCCTCAGGTGTGCTAGAATTCCACTAAGAAGAGGGAATTGAACAAGTGGCTTTAAGCATCTTTCTGCTGTCCTGATCCCCAGGGCTTCCAGGAGCCAGGTCATACCGCTGTGTAAATTAGAGCAGACTCAGGGCAGAATGTAACTACCCAAATTAGAATTTGGTCAAAATGGACACATAAGTCCAAAAAGTTCCATGGGATATGAAATGACTGCAAATGGTCAGGACCTCCAGCTTTTCATCTCATCTGAATCACAGTACTCCTAGCAGCACAGTGCTCTTGGCCCTTGCACCATGTTAGGACTTTCATTCAGTTCCAATGAAGGAGGAGTCACTAAGATCTACAGCAACATGGGGTTTCCTGGGAAGTCCATCATTGAAATACTAACAAGGCTCAAGCCTGCTTATCTTGTGAGAGTTCTTCAGCCTGAGACAGTAAGACTGCAGGCTAAAGAAAGGAGCTAGCCTTAAGGCTAAGCCTCGCCTTATATTTTCCCTATTACTATCTGGTACTGCAAAGTTTTTTTTTAAAAAATGTTATACATTTTAAGTTAAGAAATAAATATATAAGAAGCATTTTCAACAGCATACAATAGGTTTGTTTAAAGTTACTTATCTTACTTCATAGTAAGGCCATGCTCCAATAAGCTTCCATTGTAAAGGTAGAATTACTAGCATTCTGCATGTTGGCATGTTTTGTCTAGGTAAGGTTTACATTATGAATATGCCGAATGTCCATTTTAGGGTTTGTATTTGGAGCATAATGCGAAAGTTGGCAGATTGACAAACTGGCAGCAGAGTTTGTTTAATCAGGTTTATTGAGACATGCAAAATCATTTAAATCTCTTTTTTTTGTAATTAAAGAGAACATTTTCCCACAGAACCAGAATTAAGTACACATGTAACATTCTCATTGGATCACATTTCTTCATCCAGGAGTGAGAGTACCCTTGCATTTTCATGGTAAGATTGTTCTCCAGAAGCTTGTCCTCTGGAGAGCACAGTATACCTCAGATTGGCAATTTTGTAATCAGCTTGTCGTGATTATGTGCTTGCTGCTATACAAAACACAAAGGAAGAGCCAACTAAAATTTAACCAACCAATTCAGACCAACAAAGTACAACATGTCCAGGAGATGGATCTATCACAAAGCAAAGCTGAAAACAATATACATGACAGCATAAAATTGATTAAAGCTTGTACTATAGGTTCCATGGAAGAAATGTGTTTCAAGAAGAGATCTGGAGGAAGAGAGGGAGGCTATCTGGTGTACCCAGAGAGGAAGAAATAAGGGGCAGTGTGAAAAAAGGTGAGAAGAGAAAAGTGGGTGATGGATCCAAAGGTAATAGAAATACGGACTTGGCAGAGCAGAAGGAGTGAGTTAAAGAGCAGAAATAGATTAGAGTAGATATAGACAGGCACAGAACTGTGCAGATCACTGAAGGTGATGACAAGACGTTTGTGCTTGATGTGGAAGACAATGAGATTTCTTGTAACCTCCTCATTGCATTTTGCAACTGGATCTGCACAGCACAGCAGGTGAGATACACAGGAAGATGATGATTTTTCTGAATCTGGCTGTGGCAAAGTTTGCTCTGTTCTATATCTGATCACCAGTTTTCCTCTTCTGCTGCACTGAATCAGTATGTCTGAAATGAGCAAAGAAAAGAAAGCCTTGAGTCCAAAGGTTCTGAGATTCATAGCGATGCTCTTCAAAGAGGGATGGGCAACTGCCAGTACTGGAATGTAATCTGAAAAAACGGTTATAAATAATATTACAAGAGTGAGGTGGCATGGGGAGAGAGAGGAGTACAGAGGAGAAAGAAGGAAGAATTAGAAGAGATCAGAACCACTTCCATTCAGATGATCTACTATACCTAACCGAGAATTGTTTCTGGGGATTTTAGTGAGAACCCAGAAAGCTAATGTTAGTTCCTTCATTCTGAAGCCCACAGACACCTTCGTATTACAGGGTTGGTTGAAACCAGAGTTTCTTTGTCTAAGACTGTCTATATACAAACACAACCCTGATTACTTAACAAACAATGATAAGTAGATCACTTCCTTTATTCTGCTCTGATGGGGGCTTTTGCTGAATTCAATTACTGAATAACTTATTCCTTTGTTTCATTAGGTCTTCTTGGTCTGATTCTGCTGTCAATTACATTAGTGTAAATCAGGAATGACTCCACTGAACATTTTGGAATTACCCTGGTGAAAACCTGAGGCAAGTAAGATTTGGATCAAGCCTTCTCTGGTCTCTCAAGCTGTGTCCTTTACTCAGAAGGCAAGTATCATGCCTGTCATTATGTTGATGGATAGTATTTTTGTTGACCCTTGGGCCAAGTGGCTACCCAATATTTGGGGTGTAGCTCGGTTGGTTCTGTTAGGACAAAATATTGATGATAGAGTCAGATTTTTTTTTTTGGTGCAATCCTGTTTATTTGCGAGGAATGGACACAAGGCCCTCTTTCCCTGAGCATATTGGGAACAAATAGGAGGCAGTTTTGTTGTTCAGAAATCCAGCCCTATGCCCCAAGCAGCTCAGTTGCTGCTTCCTCTCAGGACCATGCTATCAGTGCTTCTTTAGCTTTCTCCTAGCTTTCCGATTTCTTTCCGCTTCTGACACTCACAGACAGAAACAGCTACAATCCAATCAATGCCCCAAGCCCTGCATTTTCAGTCAGTTTCAGGGAAGTCCCCACTGTTCTCCCTGAGTTACTTTATGCTTAGGCCTTCCCACCTGGTCTAGTGTTTTGGGCATTGGTTTCTATCGTTTCAGCTATAAATAAGTTTAATTGCTTCTTCATTTATCCTGAATGAAAGCCGGCTGGCATGCACGTCAGCTTCAGTGAGGTCCAAAGACACTCCCGCTGGCAACCTTTAACACATTATTTGCATTACAATAAATAATATACAAAATGGCTGTTCCACTCGCTGTACTGGTATAAAAGAATGATTATTTACCTTATACTGATGTTTTTATCCATGTGGATCCCACTGTAAGTTCACATGAACCTCCATGTATGCAAGATCCGACTCATTTGAAAAGCAGTATCCATTGGGCCGCACCTACCATCTGCATGACCCCCATTACCCTTTCTCAACCCCCAAAGGCATAAAGGGCAGAGAAGCCACAATAAACCCTCAGTTTCCTTGATAATTCAGAATCCCAGATAATAAGGACTCTAAAAGAGCAAGGATGGAGGCTGGGTCATGGATCCACTATAAAGTACATAAATGTTCTCTCTTCAAGTATGTGTCTGTGTGGTTCCCACTCTGGGTGACTGATATGCAGTGCCCAAGCTGGAAGGTGAGATTGAGTAGTCCGGACACTAACTATAAAGTTATTGCAGCACTACCCTCCTGAAATTAGCATCTGATCTTGCTGCCGGGTCAAGGGCATAGTGTTTAACGAAAGCCAGCAGGTTATTTCATGTAGCTGTCTTGAAAATTTCAGATATGGAGATAGTTCTGAAGCATGCAGCAGGAGCTCTAATGAAGTACACTTTAACACTGAGGAGAGGGGTATATCAGCCATGTGGTATGCAGTGCATAGCCCATTTTGATTTTCTCTGGGAGGAGGTGGCTCGACTCTGAACTACCAGAGATGGCAGTGAAGAGATGGAAAGAGAATCTAAAGGGCTATGTTCTGTCAAGGTATATACTAAGTCCAAGATGTGGATTTTTCTCTCTCCTGGAAGAAAGGAATGAGAGGGTTAATGAGGGCCTGTGGCGCCAATGGGCAATGCCCTGCTCCACCTTCACTAGGTGTCAGACCTGGAAAGGGGGGTTAAAGGGAGGAGATCTAGCCTAGTTCAGAGCTGTGCAGGAAGGAGAGCAGAGTTCTGCTACTCCTGATGTGAGGGAAACTGGATTGCAGCCCAGAGACTGAGCTGGCTTATTGGCTGGACAAGCCTCCTGCTAGAAGCTTGGCTGAAGTATGGCCTATGTGAAGAGAAGCCCTGAACGGAAGGGTGGAGCCCCACTGTTGGTTTATTGGATGACCCTCTTTATGAGTTGTGGGGTTTGGGTTTTTTTTTTTGTTTTGTTCCCAATTTCTTTAAAACTATAGCACCCTGGAAGGGTAGGACTGAAGTGTGCCTTGGCCAGGGGCAAGCTACCTCAGACTTCACAGAGACAGTAGTCTAACAGCAAAAACTCATGGCTAGGTGATGCATGGCCTTACAGCAGGTGGATGCAGGTGTGGAGTGACCAACTGTTGAGGAAGACCGTGGTGTTCTTTGAGAGTATATAGGCTTTTCCCTAGGTGGATAATTGGAGGATCTATTCGGATGACAGGTAGTTGGGTTTTGCATAGACTGACATTGGTACCTGAAGGGCTTATGGTGAAGGGCTGTGATACATATGCCCAAAGAATAGAATACAGGCTTGGAATCTTTGAGAGAAAGCAGTGCATTGTCCATATGCATGCTGAGCAATTCTCTTCCCTCAACTGGCAATACCTTGGTAATGCCTTGCACTTCTTTTGGAATGCAAGAGGCTTGGAGCCATGAATCTCTGCACATGATCACAGTGGTGGCCATGGATCTAGCTGCTGTGTCCAAAGCATCCACGGAAGCTTGTAGTGATATTTTTGGTACTAAATGGCCTTCTAAGATAATATCCTTTAGCTCTTTTCTGGCATCTTGTGGGTGCTTAGCAATGAAGGTAGATACCCTCACCCATTTTGAAAATAAGACCTGATAATTGGTGATTTGGAACTGTAATCATGATGAATAGGCCTTTCTCCCAATTGATGGCTGTTAGCATGGTGCTTGGTGAAAGTATGCATTTTTAAATAATTTTTGATTCCAAGTTGATAGGCACCTTGTAAATACCTAATATAGACTACAGTAGACCAGATATACCTGACAGACCAGAAAGGGGGACTCAATCTGGTGTTTAGAGCAGAGATCAGAGAGCTATGACAAATGGGTCATGCTTCTTGCTTCAGCTGCTACCTTCTGGTGTGTCCTTGAGCAAGTCACCTCTCTCTCTGTGATTCAGTTCACGCATCTAACCTTCACAGGGGTGTTCTAAGATGCTAGTTGATGTAGTAAATTACTTTCAGGTCCTTGGATGATGTGCAAAATATTGCTATTTATAACCAAAAAGCTTGCATATTTCAAACTCTGAGAGTTTCTTCAGGGGTATACTGAAATAGTATGGTTTCAACTAATCAAAGCAGAGAAATTCTGTGGAGTCACAGACCAACCTATGTTAGTAGTAGTATTTTTCACTGTCCAAAAATACTTGCTTTTGGATGCTGAAAATAAAATGAACAACAATTATTTTTCACTAACTATACACCAGGCAGATCCCTGTACTATGAATAACTGAGGGTTTTTATTAGCCAAACTGAGCAGAAGGATTTCTATAATCATATGACCGTTATTTTCTATCTTTTGGGCTCGTAACAGTAACTGCTGGATGCTGACTTCTGTCATGTAGCACGTATATTAACCCTTTCTAAACTAGACCCAGATGATGTGTCTGGGACCAAGAAATAAAGTTCAGTCTTCCCAGCATTCCTGGGACTCATACCTTTTATATCAGGCCTCTTAACTTGCTGCCTGCAAACACCTTGGACCTCTATCTTTAAACTGTATGAAACTGAGTATTACAGGCTATAGGAAAACATACCAGTTACATAGTATTTACTGGGATATGAACAACACTTGAAATACATGTACTGTATATGATCTGTCCTATCCTCTGGTCTGACAGAACTCCAGATTCAGGGCTGTTCTACTTTGTAGCTGGCTGCAGAAGCCACAAGAGGTAATTCCAGCAGCTGGGAATCACTGGAGTGAAGCAAGAGAACTCCAGGTACAAATTCTCCATTGGCCATGCTCCTTATGTTTAGGGAGGGAGGGGACATAGAACCAGTTACATCTACTTTGTACCACCAGAGGATTCCCTAAAGTTAGTTAAACTGGCTTTATAGTCCCTTTCAGAGACAAGGCCCAGTATCTGTCCCTATAACTGTAATGACAAACCTCAGAAATAATGCAAGAGAAATAAACCAATGCATCATTTCAGTATTCTAAAAAGCATTTCCTTTCCTTGCCATTAGATACAAGTGAATCATCTTTCCCTATTTAAGATTAAAGCAACTCAATGAGTAATACAGTAATGCAATACAAGCTAAAATTCTGCTTTCACTTCTTCAAGCTCCAAAAATAAAGTGCAGTACCTATTGACCGATCATTTGTCACAACAGCTGCAGTTCAGGATAACATTTTAAAAGGCTTTTCATTTGTCTTTGTAAGACTCTTTGGCAAAAGGATTTTCCTTTCCCAGTAAAGTACAGGTTGCAGAATGCTGAGAATTTGTCTACGCTTGGCAATTTACCAAAAGAGCTATTCTAGCTATTATTCTGGAGTAGTTATTTCATTATAAGCCCCCCTATGGATACTCTTTTTCTGATTTTTCTTGGAAAGTAAATTAAGCTAAATTGTAAAGAAACACACTTATTCTGGAATAAGAGTGTCCACATGGGGGCTTATACTGAAATAATATTCTGGAAAAATTATTCTGGAATAGTTATTTCAGTAAGTTTCCAACTCAGACAAGCCCTTAGAGAAGATGATCCAAGAACTTCTTGCACTGGAGCAGGAGATGCCAAGTACTGCATTGTGGTACTGTCAGTTCACAGCTAAGAAGCTGCTCTGCACTGTGTATCATCATACTAAAGGCTGAGTTAAAGATACACACATAAGGGAATATTTTTGTCTATTGCAGTAGCAGAATCCAGAAGAAAGTTAAGAGCTGTAGAAGGCACACTATAAAAGGAAAGAAAGTTGATACTTGTATTTGTTAATATTTCCATAGGACCAGATTATAAGTCAATATAACGTGGCTGGCACTGAGGAGTAAGATGCCCTCTCCTCTTCCCCACCATACACAGGCATGGTAACACTCCCCACATCACAGCTTCAGCAGGTGAGCATGGAATGGGTGGAGTCATGGTTCTGCCTCCCAATGGCTTGAGCCAGCAGTGTTAAGACAGCACAAGGGAGGAAGAAAGATACTGTACTGTAAAGGACTGCAGTAAATAACTTCCCCATGGAGTGAGAGGAAGTAGAGAAGGAGCTATGAGTCAGGGGATATGTCTACACAATATGTCTGGGAGGTGTGATTCCCAGTGTGAGTAGATGTACATACACTCGCTCTGCTTGAGCTAGTGAGGCAAAAATAGCAATGTAGCCACAGTGGCATGGGTGATGGCTCAGGCTCACTACCTGAAATTCATACAAGGTTGTTCTCAAGCAGAGC